CCCTACCCCGTCCACGAGCCGATTGTGTCGCGGAAACGAATGGCTTCCACGATAAGCGGAGACGAAGTGCATTTCGTCAGGTCAGTACCTACCGCGGGCATTTTTCGATTCCGTTGCCAGGGAGGTCGCGGACTTTCTGAAAAACCGTGCGATCCTGGTTCTGGGTAATTTCTTTCTTTCCACCATATACCTCTTCGGATGCCTCGTAATCCCTTATCCCGGCCAATTATCGCGTACTCGTCCTCCCCACGCGAACCAATTACCCGCTGCGGGGTTCTTCTGCGCCCTGACCTTTCGCTGCCGTTTCTCCGCCATAGACTCGTCTGGCTATTTATTTATCTTCGCCTTTGAATTTACGAGCACACTGAACATTTTAATTCCGCCCAGGTAATATATGTTCCTTGATCCAGTTGACAGTCGAGTATGTCTCAGTACACTACTTTGAGCCATTAAAATTTTGTAATTTGACGGGAAAATGGCACCCTCAATTTTATAATTCGCTCTCTAGTTTCAATAACGAGATTTTGTAGGTCATAGGCGTTATTCGAAAGAGGAATACTACCTTTTATTTTCGTTTAAACGGTAGAGACACTAAGTTCCCTTTTATTTGCTCGTGCGTTCACATGGTCGAACGTTGGACCCTGTAACGGGCACACGTCCATCGTCGGCGATTGTAACGGTAAACAGACAGGATTCGTAAGGAAGTTGACGGGGCGAAATTAAAAGAATCGACGTCGCCGCGCCCACTGTCCCGTGGGCCACGTGGATCAAAACAATCAACCGGCGCGCGCATGCACGCGTGTGTCGTCCCCGCTGATCGCCGGGGACGTTTCCTAATTGGGACCGCGTCCGACAACGCCGATCCCCCATTAATCATCGATCGATTATACGCTCAAGGAGATAATCATTTACTTAACCATTCACTTAGCCATGGGACGGGCCGCGGAAAACGCAAAGTCACCTCGAGGGGTGTGGGGAACCCCAGTTGAATAGTTTGACGCGATGATAGTCATTATTTGGACTCCGTGAACGTCTAAATGTGACGGCCTGCTGGCCAGGTATACAAGCAGGTAATTAAGAGGATGGAAAGTAACGTTCTTAGGAACCGAACGTAAATATGGATATTCAGGGTGTGTTCGAATAGCGTATACATACATAGCTCGGTTGGAAGAGTGGCGTGAATATTGTGCAATAATAAACTGTACTTCAAAACAGGTATAACAAATATGCATACGTGGTGTGGACAAAAAATTCCTGCACTGAATTCCTTTTAGCTAACTTGGCAACACTGTACAGTAAATCCTCGATGAGTGTTCCAAGGCTCCTCGGCATTGTCAAGGATAAGTCACCAGTGCTGCGGTGCCTTAGATCACTCATCGAGTACTTACTGTAGTCCATACAGATAGAAAAAAATATTTCGAACAAAATTTTAATGGAACAATAGACGCTATAAAATTTGTTGAAGAAACGTGTTCTCAAACAATAGTATTGAAAATAAAGTTTCGAAATAAATTATTTCAAATAGTTATTTCTTATTTTCATTTTAAATAAAATTTGTCCAAGTCTGATCGTCACATCGATGCAGGTCATGCCACACAGACTTATCCCACGAATTCTAATAACAGTTCAACGGGTGCAAAGTATACAAGCATTGGTCGAGCACATTTACGCATTTTTACGGTGGCCACAGAGCCGCCCGCCACGTAAATACACGCCACGGATCCGAACGATTATATGGGAGGCAAGGCTCTCTCTCGCCATCGTTCTGTTTCGCGTATTTCGATTGGCCTCCGGTGCTTTTCATACCGTCGCTTCCTGCCCTGTCCCCTCGGCCTCCTCGCCTTGCCACCGACCTTGCTGGAGGAAACAATTATTATTACCGATCTCACGGGTGCATCGCGATAACTGAACTCCCGTGTTCACGGTGTTACGGATAGCCTGGCCGAGGGCTCGATCCCTATCTGACAGAGTTCAGCTTTTTCTCTTTTTGCTCTTGTCACCGGCATTATTTCGTGCAATTTCCGTGGCACTTGCGCGCGCAGAACAGCCCCCTTTCATCCGGTGACACGTATACCAACCAGAGTTGGGCAGAATTTTATTCGAATCATAAATAGTGAAAACCTGAGTAGGTATCCGAGATCGTTATCCCGACTTTTGAACGATTGATGAGATTAAATAATTGTTCGCCAATTGTTTACTCATTCAAGAATTATAAATATTTAAACTTCCATATTACTAATCCATTTATGAACATTTAATAATTTTCAATTTATAATTTACATTTCTCTGCCTAATGGTCATTCACTGATATGCAGTCGATTAATGGTTGGTTTACCTTATCCCGTCGAAAGAAAAAACAAAAACCTAAGGTAAACATCCGTTGTCAGTGTGTCTTCGTATAACAATTGAATTCAAGATTAAAGGCTTCCTCTGAACCTTGTAAATAGTAATCTATAATATGTACATTTCTGAACACTTTACACGCTACTTACCGGTGATCTGATAAGCATATAGTATCGGCCGGAAGAAAGCAGTCATCGATTGGGGGGAAACATTAGCCACGGTCGTTACTCGACGGGACGAACCGATACGACTGGGGATGGTTGGGGTTGCGGCCTGTCGATACGGCCACTGAAAATCGAATTGTCGTGACGGTAAATAAAGCACACATTGCGGCCCTGGCGGAGGTTCGTATCCTGCGGGGTACGGCCGTTATCCCGACGACCATCCTAATGGGGTCCCCTGTCCCAGAGGGTCGCGTGGCAGAAACGCGACCGCTCCACGACATTGCGTGCGACTATTTACGAGTGGAACAACCTTCCGTCTTGCTCATCCTTCCTGCACGCGTCGTTGAGCCTCTCCCGTTCCTTTTCCTCAAACGCTTCTGCCCCACACCCGTGTTCGACTCGTCCAATCGGGCCGCGATCTCTTCCTTCCCGCTCGATGCAACCTGTTACTGCCATTCTCCCTGCGGCCGCGTGGATCATTCGTTTGTCCGTTCGTGTAGCGAAACCGGGTAGTCACCGAGGATGGTGCGACGATGGACAAGTTCTGGATAGACAACAGTTCCCTCCACAGTGTGAATGAGGTATTTGATAATAATACTGATTATAATTACTAAAATTGATGGTAATTTGTAGTGGCTGTAATGAAAGATCTGAGGATGGATGGAGAGGGAAGTGGGAGGGAAGAGGGGATGCTAGTTGGACTCATCGGTAAGGCTACCTACTACAAGGGGATATTTGATAGACGATTCAGGACAGCATACAGGGTGAGGTACCTAAAACAGGCCACCTGAATATCCTCGCTGGAACTGGTGATAGAAAAAAATGTGGTTGGTTGACGCCTGATGTTTCCCCTCTATGGCTCAAGTCCTCCGTGACTCACATCCACGACACCAAGCGCCAAGCTGTTAATCATGAACAATCCATCAGTATCAAAGTAGATCACAACGAAACCTAGTGGGCCTTATACGATATTCACCAAGCTGGAGTCCCCGATTCCAAGGGGGCAGGTAAATAGACCTGAAAAGATTTCGAGACCGGCGTTAAATCGACTTAATCGATCCTTTTTAAGTACACGGAGACGTATCGCCCTGCGCACCAACGGTCGGACTGTACCCGATGAAAACTGGCCCCCGAAGGGTCGCGTGGCGCACGCGTGCTTGACAAGAGAGGAGTACAGTTGCGTGCAGCTTTTTATGAGCGGGCCCCGTCGGCGAAGTCGCGCATCTTTCATGCACGCATCGATGCCCTTCGACGCTAAATGCTCCACGAGAGGTTGTTCACTTTCGAAACGGATCGCCGGCTCCTTTGCCTTCCCCTTCCCCTCTTTTGGACAGCCTCTCCGACACCCCACCTGAACGGACTCTCGCAGGTGGTCTTGTTCTTATTCGTACGGTATCCCAGCACTCGGTGACACCGATGCTTTCACTTCACCTCGGCCATGGAACTCCTGAAATATCGTATTTTATCCGGCCGCGATCGGTTTCCTCGTGTAAATGATACGAAAATCGTGTATACACACAGACCAGGCCTCTGCATCGGGGGCACACCGTCGATGGTGCTGGTGCGCTGGCCTGCGTGCGCGCCTTGGTGCCCGATGCTTTTCACTTTGGGCGTGTGCTGTGCCGACCACTACGACAGTATTATTTGCACTTGATCTTGAAACGGACCAGTCCGACGAACTGGACGCAATGTCGGCTTAACGGATTAGAGACCTGCAGGGATGGTGTTCCCCTCGGGTGAACGAACTCGAATTTCGCGGTGATATCTTCATTTTTTTTTTTTTGTTTGAAGTTTTTGGTATAGTGTATAGCGATCCGTATCTGGACTCGTTAATACTTTCAGAAATGAATTTTCATTTGACATTAAACTTACTGAACTTTTCGAAAAGGAATTTGGACGGCAAAACCGGTTGTGGTAGATTTAGTTTTAAGAGTTGTTTAAAGAAAATGTTTGTCCCATGGTTTTGTAGATAATGTTCGAGGATGTCCAGACGTTCTCGATCGTTCGTGTTTAGAGGAACGAAAAGGGGTAGGGTGCGACACCTGTGTGCCCTTCCGCTTGGGTGAAACGAAGAGTATTATCGTATCACAATCTTGGTAAGCCTATCGTTGATTCTTAAAAAAACAAAGCGGTCTGAAAGAAGAGTCGAACGGATGGAGATTAATAGGGAATTCTCGAGGGAATCCGACAATACGTGACAGGATTGTGAGCGACACTTCCTCTTAAACCCTATAATAATCTGTCGATCTGTTACACCTGCCATCCTCGGTCCCTAAATATATATATATATGCGTCGAGATGACAAAATATATGGGAAATTATAATAATAATACTGCAACGAAGAATCGATCGTTTTCCTTTTAGTTTGGGTTAAATCGACTAGAGAAAAGATATGCAGATCGGATATTAAAACTTTATCATTCACCTGATCGTCGTCGATTTGACAGCACCTGTTTTATTATCGATGTAACGTTTTCAACATTTCTGTTCCAGTGGTGATGCACAAAGACAAGGAGGAAAATTCGCACCACGATTCTCACTACAGAGCGAGGGAGTTGGCCGCGTTCGCTGCATACGATCATCATCATCTTGACGGCGAAACGTTCCTTCAGGTAAGCGACTCGCACAGCAATCGATCGTTAACTATCCTCACAATTGTAAAATCATTAAGCATATGCATTGAGTATCTATATAGAATGAAAGTTGAAAACGGTAACTGTGCAATCAAAGCATTGCCTTTGCTATCAACGGCCCATTTATCATTCAAGGTCTGTAATATAGTTGTTCAGGGAACAGTTACGTCATTCTAGCGGGGGTTGGAACGGAATTAGAACGCGTTTTTATCAACGTCCGTTCGTTTAACGATGTACACTTGCCCGTGTTTCGTGATGGATTGACGGTCGAACGAGTGGGTGGCTGGAATGATGTTCGGTGCGAAGGGAGTCTAACGTTCCACCCAATAACGGTCTGTGATTGCAACTAGTTCATACTTCTCCGTAATGAAATGTGAAATAGAGCGAAGCTTGATAGGGGCAGTTCGAGGTCTAACTGGAAATCATGATTCAAGATATTCGAACAAACGCAAGTATGCTAACGAGATAATTTTTATTTTAATTGATTGGTACCATTATTAACCCTTTCGACAGTATGGTACCCTCTGTCCAACTCCCTGTGTAACTTGCACGACAAATCATATCCTCTACGAGAGTCTTTAGCAAGGAAAGGGTTAATACTGTTAATGTTTTAATTGCAATATGAATTACCTTAAGAAATCTTTACAATTGTCTAGCTTTCAATGATATCAACGCGTTCGTCCGTTTGCTTTCTAATCATCGAAATTCCAAATCATAGCATCCCCTAGTTTTTTGACTCACCACTCCCTTTCCAAACTTTCCTCTGTTCAACCATCTCTATTATCAAAATTACCAAGTGTAGTTCTGTGTGTATTCGTTGAATCGGAAAAAGTTAGATTGAAAACAAAGAGTATAAAATAACTGGAACGCCCCTCCAGATCTCCTTATCGCCCACTTCGGGGTCCTAGGAACAAAATATCCAAGCCTAAAGAGCAACTGTTTGGCCCTGAACCAGAATCATCCTCCAAATCTTCGATCGATCCCAAAGACCCAGACTGTGGCGAAAGTGTAGTAGAGGTGGAGGGGGGGGGGAACGAGGCGAAATTAAATCATCGCGAGTGAGAGGAAAAGACAGGAAGAGCCGAAGGAGAGCGCGAGCGGGGAGAGATATCCGGCTGATGAACCGGCTATGAAACCGAGGCGTACGAGGTGTCTATTCCTCCAAAGTATGGAAGGGTATATACACGGATTAATGGCGGTGTATCATGCGAGGCTATTACGTTCCCTTTCCTGCGTTTAAGCCCGCGCACACACACCCGGCGAAACCGAACGAGAGAGGGTGAGAGAGACGAACCGAGGGAGGGGAAAGGGTTTATTTGCCACGGAGTGGGGGGACGCAGAGGGGCAGTGGGAAGGGTTGGAGGAAGAGAGGATAAGCGATACGAAACGGTGTCCGCGATTCCATGCGATCGAACGATTCCCGCCATCATCTATAACGGCCGGTTATTAATTGCCCGCTCGTTAATTGCGTTACGTATGCAGCTCGTGCCGCGATTTGATTCCTGGACGGGACGGTCTGACAGCTTAGCCGCCACTTTTGGGGTACGGGACGATGTAGAAGTAATCAAAATTAATTTGTGGTAATGATTAATTGAAGAATTATAAATTAGTAAGGTCTTACCATCAATGTTCTATCAGGATTTCATTTTATTATTCCAAAGGAATCTTTAAAAATATTAGCGTTCTAAAACTAGGTACAGACTCCTCTTGATTGTGGTCCCGAAGGTCGGGTTCGCGCCGGGACAATAATCATGTAGGGAGAAATGTTTCAGACCCTTGTAAATTCGTTTTCTGACCGAAGCCAGGAACCTCGGTAACAGAAGCGGAGAGGCAACAACATATGCACTTGTCAGGTTCCACGCCCCTCGGATAACGTTTGGACAATAATCGTGTAGAACAAGCCAGACAATAATCGAAAGGAGTCTGTATTTCGCCAATACCTTTCCGGTAGAGGCAGGTTTGGGTCATTTAATTTTTGTATTGTTTTACAGCGATAACACGTGTTTATAAAAGTAATGATATGACTGTTTTATTCCGAAAGAGAAGTTTAATCCAATGCTAGCAATAGTATTGTTCTTACAAAAAATTCATGAATATCAGTTACTTCTAGAGATGTCAAGACAGTGTAGTATCAAAAACAGTACAAAGATGACGATAATTCTCTCGAAAGGGATATTCCAAGGGACCCCGAACCAGCCGTGGCGATCAAATCCAAGCACCGATAACTCTTTCTTTTCTTTCCCCGTAATTAAACAGGAACCACCGGAGGCTCGGTTAAGTGACGTCAGGAACATCGACGGGAATTACAATAAAGCAAACCGTTTCATATATACATGTACCACGTGACACCCGGTGTGTGTGTACGAAACAGAATCCGATAAAGGTTCCCCATCCGGCCGGACACCTTCAATAATTCCGACGGCAGGGGTAGCAGGGAATTAACCGTTCGTCGGGGACTCGTATTTTCTATAATTCGCGGGAGTTCCTTGAACCTGTCCTACCGAGGACTTCCCCTCCTCCCCTGGCCTCCTACGCCTTCTCCCCCCCTGCCCCATCGTCTGGTCCCCCCCTACTACCCCCTCCCTCTTTTAGCCGCCGCGATGGCCACGTTATACGGCGTTTTGCCGATCCTCATAAAGTTTACGAAGCCCGACAGTAAATCCGGTTTATGACAAGCCGACCGCCACCACCAGGCACTCTCGAAATTACGGCTGAGCGATCGAATTTTTATACTCCCTCCCATCCCCCCCCCCTCTCCCTTTACACCACCTCACCCCCAATTATAGTGTTTTGAAGCTGCGTGCGCGAGAGGAAGGACATCGGTTTCGAGGCATCTTCGTGGTGTATCTGCTGGTTACACTTTGTGCCATAAAATGGCCCCCACCTTCTTTGGACGATGTTTAAGAGTTTCTATCGAGGCTGGTGACAGATTAATCGAAAGGCAAGTGGTGGTTAATCAGATATGCAGAGTCTTCTTTCGATTACCTGTTTTGTGTAGTAGGGGAAGGTTACTGAGTTTGGACCATCGCCTAGGTTTGGACTAGTGATGGGCGATACAGTATCGATGTATCAAAATATTAATACTTTTGAATCCACGTATCGATATTCGGCATCGATTCATAATATTACGATGTGTCGTGGCAGCAATACTTGACCCCATGAATATCGGAAATTCGAAACAACTGTGCAACACTGTTCTCATTTGCTTGAGTGTATTACATTTTCACAAATTGAGATGATTCTACATGAGGTAGCGATAATGGAAAATCGATGCCACACTGATGCCATCGACATCATTTTATAGCTATTTATTTAAGCATTTTTTCAGTACAGATTACAGACGACGAATTAACAGCATCGATAATCGATACTGACGATACTAATATTTCACTTTTGATATTTTAGCCGTACCGATATTTTGACTACTGATATAATATCGATACGAAATATTCGCTAAAACGTCTGGAACAGAATGGGAAAGGGAAGAAAGAAGAGTTTGTAGATTCGGCGTTCGTCGACAGATTTACAGTTTCCCCGGTCCGGGGGTGGATGCAATTTTGCCAGAAATGCTCTCCCCCGGAGTGTTGGAAAACGCGCGGTAACTGTCTCCCCCGCGAGGAAACCCTTTTGCGAGAGTAATGTATCCGCGTACCGTCGAGAAAATCGTAAGTATCAACCGGGGAAAGTATCTCCTCGCACGCTATCTACACGGGGGTCTCTCGGCGCGATCGCTATCTACGAAATTGCCTTAAATATTCCGGCAAACAGTGAACTAGGAGGACTCGGTTTCGTTTGCGTATATATTATTCCAGCCGTATTTAGTGTCTGTATTAAATCTCCCAGTTGAGGTACGTCCTCTTTAAATATTCTTTACAAAGTAAGAAAAACTTTGCAAAGTACAGTAAATCAGCGATGAGTGTTCGAAGGCTCCTCGGCACTGAGGAATAAATATTTCATGAACTAATGGACATACGTCTTCAAGGCGTCATGTGCTATCCGGTGACAGGTTCAAGACGAACCATTATTCGATAACAATTTTTTTACACAACACCCAACCAGAGCCTTAACACCACTACTCAGGGCGTTGACCGTGGCAAACCCATTAAAAAATCAGCGAAATCGATGGTGGCCCCCTTAATGGTAAATATCTACCGAAGATTTCGGCCAAGAGCTCCAAAGACTTTTAAACACTCGCCATCCGTTCTGGTTCGTCGACACTAATATTGGGGCGGTTCGGTTTCTCGGGTTTCACGGCTTTTTATCGTCGTGAACATCGTCGTATCAGCATTAATCAGCCGGGTCCCCTTGTCCCTGGGAACAGGTTGATAATCGCTTCGAGACAAACCAATAAAACACACGGTTATCCCCGGCCGGTACACACGGGGGGATTTTTCAATCGGCGAGAAGAACATACTTTGCCAATCCATTTCTGCCATCCCGTGCAAATTATCACCCCGAGCAAACGGCACGATACTCGCGCGCGCAGCGCCGCCGCCCCCCGTCGTGCGGAGCGCGCCTCTCAGCTTTCCTTTATGAAACTCGAACATACTTTTCTTGACACCGCGAACCGGTGAACGATGCGCCTCGAGGGGGAAAAAACAGAAAACGAACGCTGTTCCCCCCTGTTCGATGCTTTTTTCTTTTGCTTCGTTCCGTTTCCCTCGTGTGCTGATTAATGGAATCAATGAGTCTCTACCCCTTCCGGATGGTATTCGATATTCGATGGTCGTTCGAAAACGAAACTCTTTCGAGGCGGGATTCCCTCTACTGGCCTTAAAGAAATATGTGTTCGTCTTATTAAATATTAGATTTTTTATCGAGTTAGTTTTATACCGATTTCAGATTATTGTATTCGATGGTCCAGGCCCGATTAAGATTTTTGGGGCTCCGGGTTATTATACCTTCAAGGGCCCTCTTGGTTGAAAAGTGGGGGTAAATTTTTGTAGTGAACCGTACAATAAAATACATGAAATTTCAAT